GAAAAAACTAGCCATTCAGCTGCAGAGCAAAGCTGGGGTCTTGGCTTTAGAGCTTTTTATGTCTTTAGCATTCGGCTGGGCAGCAAGTGCCTTTTCCAGAGTAGGCCAGAGAAGATAAGTCCAGTTTGTTTTTTAAGGCTTGAGTCAGCTCTCTGGCCAGCAGCTCGTGGAGGAACACACTGTCGTGGGAGTACATCCCGTTTCTCCCAGTCCAGTGGTAATGCTTGGGGCCACTGGATGGTGAAGATAACCAGATTTGCTTGTTTGGGGTCTGTTCGTTGATCACGTACGTTCCTAGATCTCCACCCAGTTTAATTGTTAAAACACCATATTCCCAAAGGAGACACCATAGTCCTCAAGTGTGTAAGGTTTGTCTGCAAGGTCTTTAGAAAACTCTGCTAAGGAATCCAGCGTCTCCTCGGCCAGTTTTTCGCACGTGGTATCGTCCAGAGGGCCAGCGTCACGCAAAGTTCCCATTGTCCTCAGATTCATCAAGCAGACACTCTGCTTTTTGACATTCAGGATCTAGTTGAGGCAGCAGAGGCTCAGACTGGGCTGGCTGCCTGTGCAGGCCCTGGCAGCTGTAGGCCGTGGGGCCCCGGCGTGGGCCTGGACATAGCCTGGGGGTGCTGAGTGGAGCAGAGGCTGGCAGCTGCGTGGCGCTCCAGCGTCCACATCTGTTTGTTTTTTAAACTCAAGAGATGCTTTATGAGACTTGATTTTGGGAGAAGACCTGAAGCCAGGCGAGGAGAAGGGCACAGAGGAGATGGTGATGAGAGATAAGGGTACCTGGAAGACAAGGAGGAGGACAGCGGTAGTGGGCGGAGCAGGTAGTGACAGGTGGGAAACAGTTTGATCTTACAGTCCTTAAGCAGTGAGGAAACAGGCGAGTGACCCCTTTAGGTAGGGACTGCTATTCAGGGAGCCAGAAGGTAAAGGCAGCGGATTTTGAGGTAAGGCCAGAGAATTTTTCCTTGCAGGAGAGGGCTTCTACATTTAAGCTAGTCATTGTTCCTGCTGGCAACTCCTGTGGATCTAAAGCGTCTTCTTGTTGATTTCCTGCACTGCCCTTACCTAAGAGGGGCAACCTGTATATTCCATGAGATGTCTTTAGGGTACAGGTACTGAACCTGGTTTTCAGGAAGTTTGAGAATGCTGAGAAAGTCGCTGCAACGTGTGTGTGTGTGTGCGCGTGTGTGTGGTCAAACCCACCACTGAGATGGATGGGGCAGTGTGGGATTTGGGTCGGAGAGTCCTTTGAATTCTGTAGGATGGGTTAGGCAAAGGAACCATAACTTAAATAATGTCACTCTTGAACGCGATGAGTTTAAACCTAGATGTAGGCCATAGACTGCACTGTAAACAGATTTGCCAGGGAAATCCATGGATTGGTTATTTTGCCTCTTTCTGCCTAAATTTCCGTGTCTGAAAATTGCAGATAATAAATTATGAGAAATAAAAGTATTTACAATAAGCTTTATACGTTACTATCATTACTAGGTAGGGGTGGTGCTTAAATATACAACAGAGGGAATGTCAATGTCAAGGCTTATTATACTGTGCGTCAGGGGGAGCATCTAATGGGTATATTTTTTTTTGTTTGTTTGTTTGTTTTTGCGGTACGTGGGCCTCTCACTGTTGTGGCCTCTCCTGTTGCGGAGCACAGGCTCCGGACGTGCAGGCTCAGCGGCCGTGGCTCACGGGCCCAGCCGCTCCGCGGCATGTGGGATCTTCCCAAACCGGGGCACGAACCCGTGTCCCCTGCATCGGAAGGCGGACTCTCAACCACTGCGCCACCAGGGAAGCCCTAATGGGTATATGTTTTGAACGTTTTTCAGATGATTCTGCTGCAGAGCCAACGTTGAGAATGTATCTGGAAGTAAGTAGGATGGCTTCCTTGCACTCAAGAAGCTTGCAGTCTGGTTGAAGAGACATAAACATGATTGTAACCCAGTGTGGTTAAGGGCCATACTAGATGTTGCGTGCACAGCACCTCGTAGCACAGGAACTACAGCTGTATAGCTGGAGGAACTTTCAGAGGGGGTGATGTTTTTGCTGGATATTGATTAGAGATGGTGGGGAGAGAAGGGTGTGGCTCTGTCACGTATTCTTAAAGAGCTGTGTGTATTGGATGTTTAGAAGTCAGGAATCAGAGAAGGTGAGAGATTTTGTGCAACGGGAGTGTAGAACACATGGATTGGACGGGGGTCAGGAGATGGGATTAGGAAAGTGGGTCAGGACCACGTTAGGAAGGTCTTATGAATGGTGCAGAAGTTCGGGTTTAATTCTGTGTAAACAGAATTAAAAATCTGTGAGCAGATTTGTACCTAGAAATATAACTCAGTGGTAAGTGGGCGTGTGGACTGTGGGCGGTGAGTGGGTAGGAGTCCCAGCTGGGAGCTGGAACAGGGTCTGGCCACGGTGCTGCGGTAGGATGGACACTGCCGGGTAAGCGGGCGGCTCTGGGATGAAAGGGAAGCATCAATGTCCAGCACTCTGGGAATTGTAGCCGTGCTGTGGACTGAAACAGGTGTGTGAAATGTATTTGCGGAGCTAGTGATTGCTTCCTTTTCTCTTTAACTTTTACACAGTTGCTGGTAGCAGTAGAGAAGAAAAGCATTTCTGAGCACTGTAGTTTTTTTTGTTTGTTTTTGCCTGCATATGTAAGCTTCAGCCTTTGCAGGAATTGAAGCATGTTAGAAAACAAAGTTGGTTTTTTTTGTTTTGTTTTGTTTTGGCGGTGCCGTGCGGCTTGCGGGATCTTAGTTCCCCTACCACCAGGGATCAAACCCGGGCCCCGGCAGTGAGAGCGCCGGGTCCTAACCACTGGACTGCCAGGGAATCCCCCAAAACAAGTTCTTAATAGTTACAAAAACTTTGTTTCATTGCCACAAACCACAGAATTTCAGTTGACATACAGTTAATCTAGAGATTATTTGAAGTATAAGGGAGGATGTGTATAGGGTACATGCAAATACTACACCATTTTATACAAGGGACCCAAGCAGCCTTGGATTTTAGTATTTGCAGGGTGTCCTGGAACCAGTCCTTCTCAGAGGCACTATTTAATTACATTTTGATGAATGTATCTATTTGGTTAAATGGATCTTCAATTGTAAGTTTGTCTTTAAAGGTACATGAGTTGAGGTGACAAGTAGCAAATGCTAATTTTACCAGACTCAAGATAATTTTTAAAAATAACCATTAGAGAAACTGTTGTACGTTTTTTTGTTTACAGGATTTTTACCTCCTATAACTCCACCAGAAAAGTTTTTTCTTTCCCAGCTGATGCTGGCACCTCCACGGGAACTCTTCAAAAAGACACCGCGACAGATTGCCTTGATGGACGTCGGAAACATGGGCCAGTCTGTGGACATTAGCGGGCTTCAGCTAGCCCTGGCTGGTAAGGAGGGATCCCGCTTCAGGCATCTTTGTGTGCTAGCAATTAGGCCTTTTTTCTTGAGGTACTCCATTTAAATGAAGGTCTTTGTAACTGTACTAAAAAGTTAGTATTTTCTGTGAAAAACATAGCTTCAGTACTGGATCCTTGCTATTATGGGATATAAATTTCATTTTGAGTTTTCACTTGAATTGATTGCTTTCCCAGTTTAAGAAGAATGCTGAGTAAAACTTGGTCCGTTTAAAATTTTCCTGATGTCATTTCTACTCAAAGCGATCTACAAATTCAATGCAATTCTTATCAAAATCCCAAAAATGTGTTTTGCAGAAATAGAAAATTCATATGGAATCTCAAGGGACCCAGAATAGCTGAAACAGTGTCGTCTTGGCGCCTTTATCGAAAATCATTTGAATATATATATGGGAAGGTTTATTTCTGGGCTCTCTATTCCACGTCATTGGTCTGTTTGTCTTTTGTTTTTAATTTTTATTTATTTATATTTTTGGCTGCGTTGGGTCTTCGTTGCTGCACGCGGACTTCCTCTGATTACAGCCAGCGGGGGCTACTCTTCGTTGCAGTGTGTGGGCTTCTCATTGCGGTGGCTTCTCTTCATTGCGGAGCATGGGCTCTAGGCATGCGGGCTTCAGTAATTGTGGTGTGCGGGCTCAGTAGTTGTGGCTCGCCGGCTCTAGAGCCCAAGCTTAGTAATTGTGGCGCACAGCCTTAGTTGCTCTGCGGCATGGGGGATCTTCCCGGACCAGGGCTCAAACCCGTGTCCCCTGCATTGGCAGGCGGATTCTTAACCACTGCGCCGCCAGGGAAGCCGGGTCTATTTGTCCTTATTCTAGTACTACCCTTTTGATTAGGGTGGCTTTTTTTTTTTTCCTTTCATGTAAAAAGGATTTTATTTGCAGGGGAGCAGGACACTAATCCAAGTCATACAGTAGCTTTTATGAAATTGAGAGGTGTGAGACCTCCACCCTGTTCTTCTGTTTCAAGATTATTTGGGCACCTTCTGTTACACGTATAAGCAAATGAATGGGTGGTCTTGAAGCAGACTCGTGTTGTGATAGAAAATAACGAGACCTTGAACAGGGTGGTCAGGGAGAGCCTCTCCATATAAGGATAAAGAAGAGCAGTTTTTGCTAACCTGCTCTAAGCAAAAGCGCACATGCATGGGTCTCATCACTTGAGAGCAATTCATTAGGAAAATTCTAATCTGTAGCCAGATTTGTGAACCCTTGACCTTGTGATTAAGTGAGCTGCAGGGTTAATTTGATAGAGCCTCATCCTTAGACTTCATGCCCTGTGACATTTGGCACCTTATATAAGGTGACATCTAATCTTCTCTTTCCTTGGGGCATTCTGAACCTTATTTATTTTTTTAAATAAATTTATTTTATTTATATATATATATTTTTTTAATTTTTGGCTGCATTTTGTCTTCACTGCTGTGCACAGGCTTTCTCTAGTTGCGGCGAGTGGGGGCTACTCTTGGTTGCGGTGCACGGGCTTCTCATTGCAGTGGCTTCTCTCGTTGTGGTGAGCGGGGGCTACTCTTGGTTGCGGTGTGCGGGCTTCTCACTGCAGTGGCTTCTCCTATTGCAGAGCACAGGCTCCAGGCGCACAGGCTCAGCAGTTGTGGTGCACGGGCATAGTTTCTCTGTGGTACGTGGGATCCTCCCAGACCAGGGCTTGAACCCGTGTCCCCTGCATTGGCGGGTGGATCCCCAACCACTGTGCCACCAAGGAAGCCCTGAACCTTATTGTTTTTTTTAAGTATTTATTTATTTTTGGCTGTGTTGGGTCTTCGTTTCTGTGCGAGGGCTTTAGTTGTGGCAAGCGGGGGCCACTCTTCATTGCAGTGCGCAGGCCTCTCACTGTCGTGGCCTCTCTTGTTGCGGAGCACAGGCTCCGGACGTGCAGGCTCAGCGGCCATGGCTCACGGGCCCAGCCGCTCCGCGGCATGTGGGATCCTCACGGACCGGGGCACGAACCCGTGTCCCCTGCATTGGCAGGCAGATTCTCAACCACTGCGCCGCCAGGGAAGCCCTGAACCCTACTAAATATTAACAATATAACAATGGTTATTTTCTGAAACTAAGAGAACTCTTTTTCAGACTTTTAAGATTGAAGGTACACAAAAGTACTTGTTCGCTACTAGGGCCAGATGCAATCTGTTAACAGAAGTAAAATAATTATTTTCTTAACCAAAGACAGTATGAAAACTGTTTGCCGAGGTGATGGGCAATTTCAAGTCACCTTACCTTTAGAAGTGACATATATTCTGAGGTTTCTAGCTTTGTATTCAATAAAGTAAGAATCAGATCTAATTTCCTTTTTAACTTGTGATGACTTGAATCAGCCCATGAGAAAGTTTTAAAGTACATCAAGCTCAGGGACTTCCCTGGTGGTGCAGTGGTTAAGAATCCACCTGCCAGTGCAGGGGACACAGGTTCAAGCCCTGGTCTGGGAAGATCCCATATGCCGCAGAGCAACTAAGCCCGTGCGCCACAACCACTGAGCCTGCGCTCCACAACTCCTGAAGCCCATGCGCCTAGAGCCCATGCTCCACAACAAGAGAAGCCACCACGATGAGAAGCCCGCACACTGCAATGAAGAGTAGCCCCCGCTCACTGCAACTAGGGAAAACCTGGGCACAGCAACGAAGACCCAACACAACCAAAAATAAATAAATAAATTTATAAAGTACGTCAAGCTCAGAAAGGAATATGTGACTAGAGTTAGGATTGAGAGGCTTGGCACAGTGGCTAAGCTTGCTGTCCCCTAGAGCTGTTTGCTGTCCTCTGCCCAGACTGAAGATGTCTTAATCATTTTCACAAGTGCTTAAGAAAAAAAGGGAATTACACCTATCTTCTCTGGAGCTAGCCGCACAGATCATCTGTACAGAGGCTGGCCTGAAATTCAGATGTCTTCACAGTGGGATCCAGGGACCAAAGGTGTACTTATGGATGATGCAGTTGCATTTTCCTAACTTTAAGAAAACAAGCAGACAAGTTAAACATCAGTAACCACAAGGGGCAGTTATGACTACAGTGTGTGTGCAATAGTATCTTGTTTTAACAGATTTTCCCCTGGTTCCTAATGGGATTGAATATCTTTTCAGATGTTTATTGGCCATACAAGCTTTTTTTTTTTTTTTTTAATTTATTTATTTGTTTTTATTTTTGGCTGTGTTGGGTCTTCGTTGCTGCACATGGGCTTTCTCTAGTTGCATCAAGCGGGGGCTACTCTTGCTTGCGGTGCGTGGGCTTCTCATTGTCGTGGCTTCTCTTGTTGCAGAGCACAGGCTCTAGAGCACAGGCTCAGTAGTTGTGGTACACGGGCTTAGTGGCTTCGCGGCATGTGGGATCTTCCTGGGCCAGGGATCGAACCCGTGTCCCCTGCATTGACAGGTGGATTCGTAACCACTGTGCCAACAGGGAAGCCTCAGGCTTTTTAAAAATAAAACACTTGTTGGAAGTCATTAGACCATTTTTTCCTATTTTTTAAAATTGATATGTCCTGAATCTGGCCCTTTGTTTATGTGTTGTAGATAACTTTCTCCATTTAGTAGCTTCTCTTTCCACTCTCCTTGTAGTGCCCTCAGTTTTGAAATGTTTCCTATTTTAATCTATTTCAGAACGCCAGTCTGAATTGCCAACTCAAAGTAAGGCCAGCTTCCCTAGCATTCTCAGTGACCCAGACCCGGATTCTTCTAATTCTGGATTTGACAGCTCTGTTGCCTCTCAGATCACGGAAGCTTTAGTCAGTGGACCAAAGCCACCTATTGAAAGTAGGTATATCTAATTTTATATTCTTGGTTTTATGTTATCAGCGTCCCCCTGAGACTTTCTGGTTTTCTGAAACATCATGTTGTTTTCGTTGATACTTAAACGTTTTTTTTTTTTTTTTTTTTTTTTTGCGGCACGCGGGCCTCTCACTGTTGTGGCCTCTCCCGTTGCAGAGCACAGGCTCCGGACGCGCAGGCTCAGCGGCCATGGCTCACGGGCCCAGCCGCTCCGCGGCTTGTGGGACCCTCCTGGACCGGGGCACAGACCCGTGTCCCCTGCATCTGCAGGCGGACTCTCAACCACTGCACCACCAGGGAAGCCCTTGAACATGAATTTTTAAAAATTTATTTTATTGAAGTGTAGTCGATTTACAATGTTGTGTTAGTTTCTGCTGTGCAGCAGAGTGATTCAGTTATACATACATATATATATATGTACATTCTTTTTCATATTCTTTTCCATTGTGGTTTATCACAGGATATTAAATATAGTTCTCTGTGCTATACAGTAGGACCTTGTTGTTTATCCATTCTCTATATAATAGTTTGCATCTGTTAATCCCAAACTCCCACTCCATCCTTCCCCAATCTCCTCTTCCCCTTGGCAACCACAAGTCTGTTCTCTATGTCTGTGAGTCTGTTTCTGTTTCAATGGATAAGTTCATTTGTGTCACATTTTAAACTCCACATATAAGTGATACCATATATTTGTCTTTCTCTGTCTGACTTCACATAGTATGATAATCTCTAGGTGCATCCATATTGCTGCAAATGGCATTATTTCATTCTTTTTTATGGCTTAATAATATTCCATTGTATAAATATACCACATCTTCTTTATCGTTTCATCTGGTGATGGACATTTAGGTTGTTCCCATGTCTTGCCTATTGTGAATAGTGCTGCTGTGAACATAGGGGTGCAGGTATCTTTTTGACTTAAGAGTTTTGTCTGGATATATGCACAGGAGTGGGATTGCTGGATCGGACGGTAACTCTGGAACCTCCATACTGTTTTCTATAGTGGCTGCACCAATTTACATTCCCATCCATAATGTAGGAGGGTTCTGTTTTCTCCACACCCTCTGCAGCATGTTATTTGTAGATTTTTTAATGATGGCCATTCTGACCGGTGTGAGGTGGTACCTCACTGAAGTTTTAATTTGATCTGCATTTCTCTAATGATTAGCAATGCTGAGCATCTTTTCATGTGCCTGTTGGTGATCTGTATGTCTTCTTTGAAGAAATGTTTCTTTAGGTCTGCTCATTTTTTGATTGGGTTTGTTTTTTTTCTGTTGTTGAGTTGTATGAGCTGTTTGTATGTTTTGGAAATTAAACCCTTGTTGGTCGTACCATTGGCACATGTTTTCTCCTAGTCTGTAGGTTGTCTTTTCATTTTGTCTATGGTTTCCTTTGCTGTATAAAAGCTTGTAAGTTTGATTAGGTCCTATTTGTTTACTTCTGCTTTTATTTCTGTTGCCTGGGAGAATGACCTAAGAAAACATTGGTAGGATTTATGTCAGAGAATGTTAAACATGAATTTAGTGAGAAGCTTCCTAGTATAGTGTCTGGAACATAGTAGAGATGCTCAATAAAAGTTAGTTTCTTGGGCTTCCCTGGTGGCACGGTGGTTAAGAATCCGCCTGCCAGTGCAGGGGACACAGGTTCAAGCCCTGGTCTGGGAAGATCCCACATGCCGCGGAGCAACTAAGCCCGTGCGCCACAACTACTGAACCTGCACTCTAGAGCCCACAAGTCACAACTACTGAGCCCGCGCGCCTAGAGCCTGTGCTCCATAACAAGAGAAGCCACCGCAATGAGAAGCCCGCGCACAGCAACGAAGAGTAGCCCCTGCTCACTGCAACTAGAGAAAGCCTGCATGGCAACGAAGACCCAATGCAGCCAAAAATAATTAATTTTAAAAACTTAAAAAAAAAAAAAGTTTCTTTTTTAATAAAAATACCAAGGTTTTGGGAATTCCCTGGTGGTCCAGTGGTTAGGATGCCATGCTTCCACTGCAGGGGGTGCAGGTTTCATCCCTGGTCAGGGAACTAAGATCCCACATGCTGTATGATGCAGCCAAAAAAATCCCAAGTTTTTTTTATTACATACCTATCATCAGCATATCTAAGGATATAAATTCTCTGATTTTACTGAAATGAGTTTATTTTTGTAGTTTATTACCTTTATGTTTTATACTTCATTAATCTTATCATTTTCCATTGAAGTTTTACTGGTCTTATAGCTCTTAATTTACTTTAATTCAAAGAAAACTCCTATTGAACTTGAAATAATAGAGCAGCATTTTTAATTTTTTAAAATTTATTTATTTTTGGCTGTGTTGGGTCTTTGTTGCTGCGCGTGGGCTTTCTCTAGTTGCAGTGAGCGGGGGCTACTCTTCGTTGCAGTGTACGCACTTATTGCAGTGGCTTCTCTTGTTGCGGAGCACGGGCTCTAGGCATGCAGCCTCAGTTGCTCCACAGCATGTGGGATCTTCCCGGACCAGGGCTTGAACCTGTGTCCCCTGCATTGGCAGGCGGATTCTTAACCACTGTGCCACCAGGGAACCCTGCATTTTTTGGTTTTATACGATTCTGTGTGGTTTTAATGATGAAGGCATGCTTTCTGCTTAGGGATAAGAACATGTTCTCCAGACTATAGTGTCACCTTGAGTTTAAAACTTACACTTTAATGCCATTTACAGTAGGTCTTTGGAATAAATGAGTCTCAGCTAGTCACGGTGTGTGGGAAGGTCCAAGGCACAGATGGGTTGTATTTAATACTTGCTCGGGCACATCTTTGACTTGAATGGGCCACTGGGAAGGTCAAGTCAATCAGATATTAGGTCTGAGTCTAGCTGAACACCAGGCATCCTTACCTCATGGGAACTTTCTCCTTATCACATAGGTATGACTTCTCGTGAAATGTTAAAAACTTTCTTTTTGTAAATGGGCTGCAGAGATTCAGGTGCTAATTCTGGTGATATATGTGAAGAGATGGTGTAGTTTAAGATAAAGGGATGATCCTTAGCCAGACAGACATTTTCAGTAAACTAGGGGACCTAGTAATCTCAAATTTGGCCGGGGCTCGGTCCATGAGTTAGCCATCTTAGACCCTACGTGGGAACCAAAGTGAGGGGTGAAATTTGCTGAGAAGTCCCAGACAGCATTTATTTTAGTGGGTTTATAACTTAGGGATCAATCTTGTTTTGTAAAATAGTTGAGGTATTAAATTGAGTGACTTCACTGTTCTGTTGTATTTTTACTGTTTTAAGAAAATGATATAGCATTTGTGAATTTAGGGGTTTCTGAAGGTCTCCAGGTTCATTTGAGAATGTCAGTAGTCCCCCGTGCCTTTCCCCTGCCATTTCATCTCCGCGTAACTTGCTACTCCTGGGTTGTAAGATGCAAAAGCAAAACCAGTACACGTCATATGGTCTCTGAATAAAAGAGTGCTGAGAATAGGATGAGTGGGGTCAACTAGCGTTTTATTTTTCCCGTCCAGACTTACCCGTGGAGTAAGTTGTGTCCTTCTGCCATTGAGTGGTGGTCATGCTTGAGCTACAGGGCTTGCCAGGTGCTGGTAGTGTTTTCCTGTCCTCCCCCAAAATAGACAGACTTGCTCTCTGACATGATAACGTTATGTCAGCGTTTCATTTTCTCGTGTTCCGAACAAAACCCTGCCTTTATGTCATTTCTGCTCCTGATTTTCAAGTCACAGTGTTGCTCTGTTGTCCTTATTAAGAGAGGTGTCACTGCAGTGCACTAAGTGGAGTCTGTGAGGTTTATACAGACATGTTGCGGGGTCAGCCGAGTGACAGAAGCAGTCAGACACGCTACTGTGATTACAGGCCATTTTCGGCCGGAGTTTATCCGTCCACCACCTCCGCTCCACGTGTGTGAGGATGAGCTGGCTTGGCTCAATCCAACCGAGCCCGACCACGCGGTTCAGTGGGACAAGTCGATGTGTGTGAAGAACAGCACTGGCGTAGAGATCAAGCGAATAATGGCCAAAGCCTTCAAAAGCCCCTTATCTTCTCCTCAGCAGACACAGGTATGTATTTATTGTAAACATTTTCCTGTATTTAATTCACCAGGTGTTTTCGTTTTTCATAAAGTGATAAATGACCAGTAACATGATGTTGGCAGCGTGAGCCAGCAGTAGGAGGCGTGGCCTCTGAAGCTGTTCTGCCCTCTGCTTGGCTCACTTCACTCTGGTGGCGCACGAAGTCTGGGGCCCGAAAACCTAACGACTTCTGTTTGGGATGAGTTTGACTCTGGAGCGTAGGATGGCGCTCACTCCTGCTCTGCGCTGCTGGGCGCTTTATGTACATTGTTACTAAGCTGGACAGGACTCCAGGAGGGTAAGCGGAATCATTAACATTTAACCAGGAAGGTAAACTAGCACCCATCACACAGCTGGTTAATGGTGGATTCAAAATAGCGCCCCCGCACCCAACTGTGACACTTCCCGTGGGGGAAAGGCAGGACACCATGGGCGGTTCCAGTTGGTGAACACTTTCACATTAGAACTTGCCAGGAGATACATCTCCAGCGTAGTTCACTTTGCTTACCAGGCCATCATGAAACAGTACATGTGTACATACAAGGAGACAGGGGAAGGAGCACAGAACATTTAGAAGAATGTACCAATTTGGCAGAAGAAACTGTCTTTGAGGACACCTATTTGAGTGAGAGTGTGCAGTGTGCCCGGCAGACAGACCTTCCCCGCCCCCCGTCCCCCTCTCAGGCATCTGTTCCCCTGGGCGCTGGGTGGGGCTTTGGTTCCTGATGTTCCCTGACGGTCTCTGTGATCTGTGCTTTTCCGGAGTACTAGTCGGTAAGATTATTTTTAACAAATGACAGGGGAAAAAAAACCTACAAAGGACTTAAGGATGATATTGTTAAAACCCAGACAATATTGTATCCAAACAATACTGATTCTGGTTTAATGCCCTGGATGCATTAGTGTCGTGTCGTTTATAAACTGTTGTGAAGGTGCCTGATTTTAGTATCTGACATTTCAAATGTAAATTTTAAAATATCAAAGACTGATGATCATGGATTTGAAGGAAGACATTTATAAAGTTGGTTCAGTGCAGATAATTTTATAACTTCTCTATAAAAATACTTGTTTTTTTGTATGCATGAAGGAAAGACAATTTCTTATTTGATTCAGGAACCTCTCTTTTTCTCTTTCTAAAAATTTGATTATATTTAGCTCCTTGGAGAGTTGGAGAAGGACCCCAAACTTGTTTATCATATTGGCCTCACTCCAGCCAAGCTTCCTGACCTAGTGGAAAACAACCCTCTAGTCGCTATAGAAATGTTGCTGAAGTTAATGCAGTCAAGCCAGATCACTGAGTATTTTTCGGTTCTGGTCAATATGGACATGTCATTACATTCAATGGAAGTTGTAAACCGGTAAGTTTCTATGGCGATCAGATGCGGACGGGGGTGTGTAATATAGATCCGGACTCAATGACTAGAAGGGAAAAAGCAGCAGCAGTTTTTCCCCCTGATGCTGTTAGTCTGAGAAAACCCATTAAATAAATAATCTGAGCCTGAGTGTTGACCGCATGTGAATTTAGCACCCACTAGCAAGAGCCTGGAGAGTATTTCAAGTATTTAGCACTAGTAGCAGCATCAGTGAAACAATTGCTAAAATTTATCTCCTAGTATGGTTGTCTGTTCTTTACACAAATTACAGATACTGCATTATTTCTCGTTAGTGACTAACAGCTGTATCAGCATGGGTCTGGGAGCTGAGAAAATTCTGGGAATGCCTTCCTAGAATTCGCTGTTCCTCGCACTGTTCTCTGAACCTTTGATTTGGCCTCCTTGCTCCGTTGTCATCAACTGTCAGGGAAACAATACATTCCCTTCTCGATGTGCTCCGAATAGTGGTTCCTCACTTTGTTATTTTGCTTACAGATATGTTTTAGGTAAATTACAAATTCCATAGGCTTGGGGGGTTAGCTTGGGAGCCTACTGCTTATTAAGCTGTCTGTGGATAATGTAGCCATATGTGCAGGCTTGCCTGATGTGGTCCCAGTTTAGGCTTCTCATCCTCAGCTCCGCTCCATGTGGTGTCCTGTTCTGGGGGCTAAATTATATAGTTTTTCTGCTCATGGGGAGGTCCATTCTGAGTGCTACGCAACTGCACTTCAATTAGAGCACATCTTTTGAACACTCACTCGTTTGTAAGTTGGGGATTAATTGTTTTTTAACCTACTTAAAGCTGTACTAAAGAATATGTCCTGGGAATCCCTGGCGGTCCAGTGGTTAGGACTCTGCACTTTCACTGCCAAGGGCCCGGGTTCCATCCCTGGTGGGGGAACTAAGATCTTGTAAACCACATGGTGTAGCCAAAAAACCCCCTATAATCAGCTGGTGGGAAAAGCCTGGCTGGAAGCCGAGGGATCCCAAGTGTGTGTGTAGGAGAGCGCAGATTTGTGGGAGGGAAGCACGAGGTATTCACCTTTTACTTTCTGTGCTGGCAAAACCAGCTGGCCGCTTGCTGACCTGCGGCTTCATTTCTGCACCCTCATCCAGGCCTTTGGCCTTTCCCTGTTACTGAGACTCACTCCTCTTTGGGGGCTGCCTTCTGCTCAGGGCCTCTGGGCCGACCATGCTCCAAGTGCCCGCTCACTGTCTAAACCAGCCGTTAGGCACTTAGTCCAAGAATACCCGCATCTTTTTATCAGTGGTGCAGAAGTAATTTCAAGGACAGGGTCTGCTCTGTGTGCGCCACCCCCATCATGGTGCATCACCCACAGGTGTGTCGCCAGTAGCCTACGGCTGTGTTTCCTTGGAGCACGGGTTCCTCAGCCTTGTGGAAAAAAGTTCTATAATCAAATAAGTTTAGAAAACTTTTGGAAATTCATACTGTATAGTTAGAATCCTTTGGAAAATACCAGCCACCCCTTGAAGACTCTAGACCAAGGTGCCTTTTGCTACCTTCCAGCCAGGTCTTTCCCACCAGCTCCTGAGTGTGCCATGCCAGTCCCCGATTCCACAGTTCACTCAGATTATCTGCTTAGGTGGAAGGACCACCACTTCTCGCCTTGGGTTTCCATTTAAGTCATTTGCCCTGTTGACTTTTCCCCAGTCTTTTCACTTACATCACTCTTTGTGCAAACGCCACGTTAGCACTTAGTTATACATTGGTTCAGTTACTACCACGCCTTTCTTCACATGCGTTCCTCGCATAGCACTCGTGTGTAATCAGGTTAGTAAGCGGTACTTACGTGGACAGAATAACTGGCCGGGTTGTTAGAGCTTGGACGATAACTATGAATTCTGATTCAGCCAAGAACACACAGGGACATGGTGCTCAATGCGTATTGCATGTGTAATGCTAAGTGTAGACCTAAGAAAAGGAAGTGTCACTTATTGGGGGGGCGGCTGGGGGCTCCGAGGTTTACTTGCATAAACTTATTTAAAACTAGGTAACTAGATCATATATCAGAATTTTTCACTAAATGACCAAAGGAAATTTTATATTTATATTTTATGGTGAACGGTGTTTTAAAATGTTATTAGCCAATAAAATTAACAGCCCTTTCTAACTTTATGAAACAGACTAACTACAGCTGTTGATCTACCTCCTGAATTTATTCACCTTTATATATCAAATTGCATTTCTACCTGTGAACAAATTAAAGATAAATATATGCAGGTAAGTAATAGAAATTTTTGTAAATTTTATAAATACCTGCCCAGAAAACACACACTAAAATTGGTTTCTTTCTCAGAATCGTCTGGTGCGTCTCGTGTGCGTCTTTCTCCAGTCCTTGATCCGCAACAAAATCATCAACGTGCAGGACTTGTTTATAGAAGTGCAGGCCTTCTGTATTGAGTTCAGCAGAAGACCTTGGACACTGGGGAGACACCTTCTGAGACCAAGATGTCCAAGTGATAGCTCGTCGGGACCACCTGTTCACCGTTCAGCTGTGCTGTGCTTTTCATTTTTGAAACTGTTCAGACCCTGAGTGATTGCCTGGCTTAATGCATATGAACACCAGTTTATCCACTTAAAGCAAAGTTTTGCTTTCCTGGATGACTTTTTCTTTTAGATGAATTTTTGGTAAGAACTTGGACGAATGTGTCTTGTAGGTGTCTCGCTGATGATTATCCATTGGGGATGTCATCCCAAACGAAGTCACTGCACAAAGTAGATGAGGTCTTCAGCACTGAAGAGCAAGGTGCCTGTTTTTGCTTAAGATGTAAGTCACAGGCTTCACAGGCTTCAGATAAGGCAAGAATACCGTTTTCCTGAGGCTCCAACGTTGAAAGTTTTTAGTGAGAGTAAATTGAAGACACTCTCAAGAACCTGCCTTACTGCCCCTGAGGTCTTGAGTCATCATCACATGACGGTGTTCTGACCCTTGAACTTCTCACTGGGTGCAGTGTGAGCCTCGGACACCCGTGTACCTTATCCTTGCTTGTCATGGGGACCTAAGAGACAACAGTGGGCTGCCTACAGACATGGGAATTCTTAGGAACCTGTGACAGCTGGTAGTTTTCTGGGCCTCTCTTCTCTCCTGTTAACGGTCTAAGAGCG